TAATCACCCAACAAATACCATTTGCTTTAGTAGGAGTACTCTAAAGCATATAGTGAGGAACACTGTTAAATACCTTTTTGAAATAGGTCCATTATCAGGAGTTTTGGAGTATTTTGTAAATTTCTGAGTGGATAATATCCAAAATAGAGTCATAATTAAGATGCAGCCACTCTTTCTAACCAAAATGTTTTTAAATGCTTTCCCATTTTTCCCTCTGCTCATCTCAGTTCATACAATCTTAATTTTAAAACCTAAGACAAAATATCCATACTACCACTTCTGAGATGCGCTCACATGTATACAAATTGTGAAGTTAATCAGGAAATGAGCGATTACTTCCAGGAAACGCAAATTATACACCTTTAATGAAATTCTAAAGATAATGTTGTAAAAGTTATTCAGTCAAAGTCAGGTGTAAATTTGTGTTAGAATTATTTGTTTAGGATGTATAGTGTACATTGCTGAGCTCCTTAATAAACCGGTAAATTCATTGCACTTTTTATCTTCAAAACATTTTATAAGCATTAACTAATTAAGATTTAGCATGGCAAGCAAACAGAAACACAATACTAAGTAATATAAAAATATTTTCATTATTAGACGCATCCATTTCCTGCTTCAATTCATTTTTTCACTAATTTACTTGTCAGACAGCAACTTAGCCAAATAAGCAGTATTGTGCACCATAGAATACAAGTGTAAGATATCAAGAAGTTTTCTGTTAATTTTTTTATTTTCAAGAACGATAGGGTAACAGTGATAACAGGGCATATATTATCACAGTAAGTTTCAGAAGATGTTAGTTTTGGATAAAGAAGCAAATTGTTCAACTTCTGCAAAAGTTGTTACTGTACTGTCTCAATATTCATCTTCATTTCCTAAGGCATGTTAACTTTAGAAAAAATGAATATGAGGTTACGAGTCAGGAGCTCTTGTGCTACAACACTAGTGCTGACTTACTGAATGACCTTGGATAAGTCACTACATCTCTTTGCTTCATGTTCCCCAGATGTAAAATGTGATAAAAATAGTCATTTTGCTTAGTTGATACAGTGTGGTGATCATTATTGATCACTTCTTTGGTTCCTGGATAAAGATGCCATTCAACCTTTTTTTAGGTCTAATTAAAATTATATTTATGTGCTGGGCAGTTCTGAATATAGTGTCAATAACAAACTTCAGTAATTTCAGTAATGATTAAAAAATAAGGAAAAGGTAAGTAGGGGACAATTTAGGTCCTCTTGGCATAATGAATTATTCATTGGTTCTTTTCCTTGTTAATTTGTAGGTTTGTTTCAATCTGAGATATTTTTTTATCAAGCTGTGGGTGGCTGGCTTTTAGACCCACTCAAGACTGGTTTCAGTGGAAAGAAGACATTCTGCTAGATTTTAACAATTGTGGGATTAATTCAGTTGGCATAAAGGTATAGAGTCCTGAAGAAGTAGAGCTGGAAGGTCATCTAGTCCAGCCCCCTGCCTGAGGCAGGATCATCCCTATCCAAACCATCCCATACTAACATAATCTAAAATCTACATAAGACGATCCTCAACCCTAATGCAACATAAACCTAACATCCAAACTTGCCACAGGTAAAGCAGGGGAACCACAGGAGCCAGTGTCCTGCTTCTATAAAATGTTGTCAATTTATGTTCAAGGAGTCCTAGGTAGAGGGCCACACCCCTCCCCCTCCACTGCAGAGGAAGGAAAAAATCTCCACAGTCCATGCCAGTTTGACCATGGGGTAAAATTCTTTCCTGAACCCAAATATGGTAAATTGGTTTGGCCTTGAGTGAAGAGGCAAGACCCTCTAGCCAGGAACCTCTAGCTTTGCTTCTAGCAGGAGAATTGGCACACCTCAGTTGAAGTCTTCAACAGCCAATGCCTCTGTGGAGGCTTAAAAACACTGACACACGTAGCAGAAAGAAGGGAGGGGTGGGAGCAACCAGCAAAGCTCAGAAACATGGGAAATACCCATGATAGAAAATAGGCATAGTTACTCCTACTTCATCCCCAACCAGCAGCTATCCAATCTCTTGAATACTTCCATTGATGGAGAGCCCACAGCTTTCCTAGGCAGTCTCATTAGTCTCACAGTGAAGAAGTTTTTTTCCAGATATTCGATCTAAATTTACTTTGCTGCAGTTTGAAGCCATTGGTCTGCATTGTCCTCTCTACAGCAAAAGAGAGAATGTGCTTTCCCTCTTCTTTCCTTCAGGTATTTGAAGACTGCTATCATGTTCTCTCTTAAGCACCTTTTCTACAAGTTGAACATGCCTAACTCCTTATATGACTTGCCTTCCAAGCCCTTGATAATCCTTGTTGCCCGCCTTTGGACCCTCTCTAATTTCTCCATGTTCTTTTTAAAATGCGGAGCCCAGAACTGCACACACTACTCCAGGCGAGACCTAACCAGTGCTGAATAGAGTCACTGTCACCTCCTATGTCTTGCATCTGATGCAGCCAAAAACCACTTTTGCCTTTTGTGGGGCTGCAAACTCATATTGAGTCTGGTCTACCAAGACTTCCAAGTCCTTTTCCATAGAGCTGCCATCCAGCCAGGTGTCTCCCCTTTTGTATTTCTTTTTGATGATTCCTCCTGAGGTATAACATCTTGTCTGTATTGAACTTCACTACTTATTTCTAGTCCAACTTTCCAATTCTGACATGGATCCATTAATAATTATCCTTTGCTTACTGCCATTGAAGACAGTTATCTATCCACTTTGTAGTATTTTATCCAGTCCACATTTCTCCAATTTGTTTATGAGAAGCACTACAAATAAATATATGCACTTAGCCAGCTTACTACTTTTCTTCCTACTAGCCAGCCCTGCGTTCTTGAAATCACTCTAAGCTCTATCAGTTCTTCCATTTGTCTTGGCCTTTCACATTCATGCCCTAACCAAATCTTGATGTTCTGTACTGTGTAATATTTCTAGTGTGAGGGTTTGTCTGCATGAGGAAACTATTGTTGATTGTAGTAGTTTGAAAATTTAAAGCCTTCTTGGATTCCCCTTGTCTGCACTAAGACTATCTGTTTTCATTTTAGGTTTGTGTATTTGTAATGTGGAGTAAATTAACCCTCACAAATGTACTTTTAGAGCAGAATAAGTGCATCTGCAAAAGGAGTTAGTACAGTATAGCTATTTAAACAATATACCCATTTTGACAAGCCGAAGCTTTAACTTCATTCTCTCCTATCCAGATGGCATAGCTCTTGCTTTCTCCTTTCTTCACTGTTGCTGCAGTATCCTTCTCTCTGTCGTCTCTCCATCCTTTTTTCCTGTTTTTGGTCCCATATAATTAAAATAACTGAAATAACATAACCATAATAATCTTTCTTCCTTGCTCTTTTATCCAGATTTCTGCTTCCTGAACTGTCAGAACATTGTCACTTACATACAGTAAATGTTATACCTCCTCTTTATTTTTAAGATAGTCTATGGTTACAATCATTTAATCTAAATTTTAAATCTAAGCACTGACAAGGATTTTGCCTAAAACATTAATCTACAATAGTCTTTTATGTCTCATAGTTTTCAGTTGAGAAATATGAATGACTTATTCCTATAACAATATGCTGTTGCCTTAATCCTGCCCCTTTTGGTACTTTAAAATATAATATTTTGCCTTAGGGCCAGTGTTTTCTTAGGTGACAGAAATTAAGTAAGAATCAAAAACTGCCTGAAAAAGACACATGATCAGATTTTGTCATGTTCAATTTTTTGGTTTTGGGGTTTGGATTTTTTGCACAATTTTGTATTGCATATTTATATGAAATATGCTTTAGAAAGCTGAAAAAAGTCTTAACTTCTGTACTGATTTTAGATTTCTTTTAAAATAAGATAGGAAAATTTCTTGTAATTTCAAAAATTTCCTTGCATGATAATATTTATTCTGGAATAGGAAAAATGAAAAGCTTGAGTACATAAAAGGGTTTTTCAAAATACTAAAAGAGAAATTTAATATTACATCTGGGAAAATCTTCATATTGTTTATTGCTTTGGCTGAAAAAGGAATTGTAATAATATTTGGTATGTCTCTTCACTGACATTCTTACAAATGCATCCATTTTTTATATTCACGTATAACTAAATTTAAATATACATTCACATATAAGAGGTTACAATGATGTTTATTTTCTCATAACTAGAATATGTTATGCTACTTTTTTGTCTATTTTAGCACATTTTAAAACATCTTAGGCTTTTAAAATATAAGGAACAGTATGGAAATTATTCTGTTATACTCTTTCTCATTGTTGCCAAGATAGCAATTTAATTGCTAGCTAGTGTCTTTGTGGGGCTTCTAATGAAACATATTCAAAATCCTGTTTACTATGCATAATACATTTGGTAAATTATCTAATGTCATTTTTGACAACTTCAGAAGTTTTAATGGGTTTTTGAGGTTTGTCTCCTAAACTTATGCTTTCAAGAGTTGGCAAGTATGATCTTTTTGTGTACTTATTCAGAAAGCTTTCATTAAACAAAGATGTAGAGAAAACAAATCAGAGACTGGTTTTTAACATATACCCCCTCTCATGCTTTCTAACAAGTTTACAAAACTAAAATTTTATTTTGGTTACCCCAGCAGTAATTATTATGGAAAATCCTTTTATTACCATTCCATCACCAACTATGCTATTGCACTTTGAAAAATAACTAAAGTTGCTTAGGTCAAGTATTTGTTGTGATTTATTTCATAGGAGAATTTAGGAATGATAATGATGAATTATTAAAATGTAGAACTAATAAAATGCTGACTTTCTTACCATGCTTAGCTAATAGAGTTCTCTTACCAAACTTGAAGCTAATAAATAAAAGTCCACTAGTTTGCTGAAGTTCTTGCTGTCACTAAAGCACAATGAAAGAGAATCTATGTAAAGACTTCAAAGAAAATAAATAATCTTATATTAATATTATTAGCAATTTATTACTGAGTCAGGTACATATCATCTCAGTAACCATGTTTTTTTTTGTTTGGTTGGTTGCTTTAGAATCTCGGCCTTTATCACTTCCAGTGAAAGCCATGCAGAACTCAACTGAAAGCTGCAGGAGTCCTGAGGAGAGAATGAAAGAATTTATTGGGATAGTATGGGATGCAGTTAAGTGCCTTACACTTCAGGTAAAATGAAAAGGAAGTGATAAAAGTTATGTCTTCCTGCATTTCATGATACTTTTTTATGCATTTTAGCACTTTCTACAAATCTCTATAAAAACAGTTCCCTAGCTTTATCATCTTATATTAGCAGTTTAAAAATTAAAACATGGCTATTTGATAAATTATTTAAGAGCTCTTACATGTTAAACCATTAGCAATCAGTGCACTCATGTATATCCGTGTAATTCTGAAAAGAAGAGTCTTAGGTGGAAAAAAGGCAATATTTTACAAAGATGCATAGGATGCCTATACATATGCTCTGATATGTTCTATACGTGTTCTCGCTTCCACCTGCAGAACCTGTGTATAGACACCCATAAACATCATGGTTCACACTCTTTCATCATTCACACACTGTTTTCTGCCATCTGTAATTGGCACATCAGATTTGTTTTCTTTCCAAAAAGCACAGTAGAAGTAGAAATTATTTCTGAGGTATGTTCAGTTAATAGCTGTGCACATGTACATATTTGAAATGCTTACATTTTTGCCCTTTTCTCAACAAGTAAACCACTTAGATTACACTGTAGACATTTTTCCATATAACAAAGTATAAGCTCTGTTAAAAGAACATTATTAAGGTTGCAAAGTCAACCAGTCAGAAATTAGCACATGGCACAGTTAAGGCTTCTTGTTCCTATGCTTATAATAATCCAAAATTAGTCTTGCAATAGTTGTGGAATTCCAGACATATTTAATCTTTGATGCTACTATCTCTTAATATGAAAAAAATTAGTGCAATTTTTATGTTAAACATAAAAATAACCATTATTGATAGAGAGAAGCATTGTACCTTTTATTGTTCCTTCTTGCATAAGAAAGTGTTCACTTGTGCATGGTCTAATCCCTAAACCTTCAGTTTTTACTCTTTTTGACCTTGGACAAAACTCTTATTGGTTTGATAAGCATAGGAGAATATGAACATTGTAGTTTTACTTCAATAAGATCTCCAGGACTGGGGCTTGATCCAGAATCCATTGCAGAATTGAGTGTATACATGCACTTAATTTCATGTTCTGTGAACAGTTCCATTTGGTCAATGGAAGTGTGTGTCCAGTAGTTTAATCAAGGTGTGGGTGGGCAGGGCAGCAGCCCCAGCCACCAATTTAAAGGAGGCCTGTGCAACAACAGCAGCAGCTGCCCCCTATGCATCAAGACCTCACACCATGGCAGCTTCTGTCTGTGCCATGATGGGATCTCCAGCAGTACTGATCTGTGTGCAGAGAGGTAGGGCTCTCTAATGCTCAGCAGCTCTCCTGCATTCCCCCCCAGTGCTTCTCCTCCCCCCAGCTGCTTGCTGTCTGATACTCAACATTCTCTGTCTAGGGCACCTAACAAGGTTGCCAAAACAACACAACTTTTTTTTTTTGTTTTTGGTTTTTTTTTTTTTTTTTTTTTTTTTTA